CTTGATAATAGTGGACAGAATTTAATAGTTTAATACAAATAATACTATCAAACAGGTTAGAGAAATTAGATTCGTACTCTACAGAGTTTCGAACCCAGGTCCGCGAGTAAACAAAAAAATGATAGCACTGAGTCGGTGTTATATAAGCTCGTGCGTAGCAGATACACTCGCATGACGACCTAGTAAATAATTCTCTAAAATATATATATATATATATATATATATATATATATATATATATATATATATATATATATATATATATATATATATACATACATACATACATACACCATAGTTCCAGATTCCTATGAAAGAAAACAAGGTATATAGGATTTGATTATTACAAAGAATTATCATATATACCAGACAGAACAGACAGTGTTATTCCTGAATTCTATAGTAGAATCTAGATGATAGTGGGTAGAATTTAATAGATTAATACAAATAATACTATCATACAGAATCCATGGATAACACTGTCTATATATATATATATATATATATATATATATATATATATATATATATATATATATATATATATATATATATATATATATATATATATATATATATATATATATATATATGTGTGTGTGTGTGTGTGTGTGTGTGTGTGTGTGTGTGTATTAGTCAACAATCAAATTTGATGAATTCAAGTCATGCCAAACTTCGACCAATCAAATGTTTCATGACTAAACTTAAACATACGTCAATATGCAGTAATGTGCAATATCAGGGCTGTAATATATATTACTATTTAGGGTATCCTTGAAGACAAATTTATTTGCATAAAGATGTTGAATGGATTATTTAAAGCCAATCGTGCGTACGTCGTTCCACAAGTCTGTGAATATTTTCTACTTCAGTCAAGTTCATCTTGATTTATAGCTTGCCTGAAATCGTCACTTTAAAGTTTAAATTTAATGCAAGTTTGTTTATTATTATTATTATTATTATTATTATTATTATTATTATTATTATTATTATTATTATTGTCATTATTATTATTATTATTGTCGTCATCATTGTTATTATTATTATTATTATTATTATTATTGTTATTATTATTGTCATTATTATTATTATTGTCGTCATCATTGTTATTATTATTATTATTATTATTATTATTATTATTATTATTATTATTATTATTATTATTATTATTATTGTCATTATTATTATTATTGTCGTCATCATTGTTATTATCATTATTATTATTATTATTATTATTATTATTATTATTATTATTATTATTATTATTATTATTATTATTAGATATTTGTTTATAAATTATCCCGGTTATAGAGTATACTTTACATAAAAACGAAGAAGACAAAATATATACTAATATTTAAAGAGTATCCTTTGTAGAAGACATACGGTAACAGAATCTCTGCATTATTCATTAGCATTATATGCAAGCAGATTAACAAGCAGATCAACACTGTCATTTAAGTGCATAATGATGTGTTTGCGGTTGCATACGTGTGGCCTTGTGCGATTTGTTTCCTGGTGCTGGAAATCTGTTACGCTTGCACTAGGGTAAAGACTGTTATTCGAATGTGCACAAGTCAGCGTCAGAGCCCTAAACATGACACTAAAATTACAATGCTGGTCATAATTTGTGTTTATAATCACGTATCTTGTCTCTAAGATGGCAAACATATATCCCCGGCCCAGGCCCTTAAGGGGGCCAGCTCCAACAGCACTTTTTAATTTTATTAATTTTTCTTTTTGCTTGAACAAGAACTAGGACAGGCCCGGGTGTTTCTTACCCCAATGCCCGTGATTGCTCTCTACAGCCCTGTTTTTGTGGGTGGGTGAGATTTTATCTCAAGATATTTTTTTCAAGTGATCTAATGTCTATAACACGTTTTATTTTCTTGCACAAATCCGAGCAAAAAAATAATATTTTTCAAGCGATTTGGGGACAAGAAAGTGATTCAACAAACTCCCGCCATTCATCCCCATTCCACCGAAAATGAAACTTAACACCAGCAGATAACGGTATCTCTTGACTGTATCTGTTCTAAGTAAAAGGTCACTCTAAATAAACTAATATAGCTGAAATGGCTCTTACAAGTCAAATGGCTTGAGCAGTCTGGCATGGATTATTATCGTAAGATAATGCAGTATTCATAAATCAGTACAAGTTTATGGCCAAGTTCATCGAACGTTATCTGCTCTGCATTGAATTATCCTGAAACGTTCATTAAAATATTAGGAGACTTTATTTTCTTTTCATCTTTTCATTATTAAAATTTATTTAACAAAATTCTGATTATGATTATGCTTGTTACATGTGTTTTGTAAATAATCTATCAATTTAATCATAAAGGTCATATCCAGCTTTTATTTTTTTAAAAAAAATGAAAAGACTGGGTCTAAGTTGTTAATTTTAAACTGCCTACCTCTCTTAATTGGGAACCAACGATTCAATTTTATAATGATATACCCTTCCACTGTTAATTCGGAATCGATCATTTTAATTGTCATGGTGAGGTGGAGTGGGTCTGCAAATTTCTTTCTAACCAAATGTTTTTCTTTCAAGTACCTCCGGAAAATTATTTTTTTTTAGAAAACCACTATTTTATGTTAGGTCATGAATTTCTTAATTTTCTGAAAGAAATTCTGTTGATATTTCATTGGAGGGAAACACGATAAATATTTTGTCAATGTCCGTTAAAAGACATTGATAACATTATGACCAAGAGGAAACTTTGAAACTTTAGCAAGACTCTTACACGTTCGAGTGATAAACATGGTTGCCTTCTACACAGATAAACCAGGTTCAAACTCAGTTATGTGAAAACGTATTTTATTTTTATGCTCTATTTTCCTTGATTTGAGAAGGAGAATATTTCCGAGAGAATGTACACAAAACACAGCAGAACATCAACGGCAAACCGCTTTCATTACAGTAAGAAATCTGATACTTTAGTCTATTTTGCATATTGTTAAGCCTGTAATAAGTAAAACATAAAATAAAACGAAACGTTGCTTGTGACGGATATAATTCATTGAGTAGGTGAAAATACTTTAGTTGTTTACCCATTAGATGAATCATATCCGTTTTTCACTCGGAATATCCTCTCTATTTTTTATTGTATTTTCATGCTATTTGGGACCAGAATGGTTTTTTTTAAGCCAAACCCAGGTACCCCTCCCCCAAAGGAAAATTAATTGGTCAATCCCTAAGACTAAACGCGAGTTTAATTCTTTTAATGTTGCTACGGTGTTCTTTTCAGTGACACATGTTAAGAGTGTTTTAGAGTACAGTCACAGAATAACGTCTTGAAATTAGAGTGTTTTAGAGTACAGTCACAGAATAACGTCTTGAAAACCTAAATGTTGTCAAAGTCATTTGAAATAATTAAAATAAATAAAAGAAGCATGGCTTTTCTTTCAAATGAAATGACATTATCGCTGAACGTCTTTCAAATGAAATGACATTATCGCTGAACGTCTTTCAAATGAAATGACATTATCGCTGAACGTCTTTCAAATGAAATGACATTATCGCTAAAGGTCTTTCAAATGAAATGACATTGTCACTGAACGTCTCACATTCAGTTCCGCAAGTTTCATTTGATTTTGTTGTTTATTTTTTCAGGGTGGGGGGCGACTTCACTGACTGATTAACGGCAACTCACACGAAACTTAACAAAAAAGGTTTGGTTTTGTGTTGAACGGCACTGGAAAGCTGTCGAGGCAACTGTAGCACACGGCTTACCCAGATATACACCACGGCGGACAACTCGACCTAGTTTTGATAGGATTCGAACCTGAGTGAAGCTGGTCGTGAGTATAGCACGATAACAACCGACCTACCGTGGCTCTTGTGCCTGTTGCAAGTGAAATGTTATCCGATTAGAATCGGATTTCCACGACAGCGCTCGTTTAGGGGTAAATTTTCTGGTGACTTTTGCATTAGCTAATTGAAGTGCAGCTTTCGGAAATTAAGTAAACCAAATCGTTCGGCACAAATTGGTGTTCTTCAGTCATATAAGGCTTCATCTGATTGGCTGATTAAATTATCGACTATGGTAATGTGTGGGTCGCCAAAGAAGGACCTTGCCATATCTTCACGTAGGACAGAGGAGATTTGATATTAATTCAGCTGAAGTGAAATGATAAGCTGTTTAAAATAAGTGTACACTGTTATCTACTTCTAAACAACTTCGATATTAGTAAAAGTTCAATTTATCTTCGTCTAGACTAGTCCGATAAATCAGACCCCCAAATATGTATTCATTCGGATGAACGATTTGCTTGTCCCACAAATATTCTATCAGTATCCTCACGGTTCTGAGGGGTCTAATTTTATCCGACTACGTCTAGACATGCTGTACTTTGCTACATCACAGGAGTCTGCAGTTTTATCAACAAAGCACGACGAAATTTCTGGCAACATGAAATCACGTTAACGGTATTATAAATTAACACAAGGAATGCAAGATTGCCCACAACCCTCCGCTCGATTCGACTTTTATCGCTTCAGAATCGCAAGAAGGTTTAAAATCTACACATATCCATTCAAAAATCAGTAACGTACCAACGCATCACTCTTGGACGACCATCGCATGAATCCAATCCGGTGAATGAACCTTTATTTTCACCATTACGGTCACAAACCCTGAAAACAGAAGTCATTATCTTATTGATAAAACTGCAGACTCCTGTGGAGACATGCACAAGTACAATTTTATCCAGATACCTTCACACGTGCGTTTTATCTTTCTATACATGCATTACTTTTCGCTACCTGAAGATGATAACACCTAAAAGGCATAAAAGAGTGCAGAAAATGAATCTGCAATCGGGTCACTCACTCTCAAGCTTATCAGTGTAAACACTAGGACAGGGAAATGGGTCAATTTTTCTCTCAACAGTTTTTATGTAAAACAAAAGCAGAAAGGAAAACAAAGACCATTAAACACATCGATGCTCGTTTTGAAAGGCTATATAATATCTCTTTAAGGCCAGGCATGCATGGCCCCGGTGGCCCAGGGGTTAGAGTTTCTGCCTCAGATGCAGAATGTCACGGATTTGAACCTTGTCCGAGTCATACCATAGACTTAAAACGATGATACAACTGATTTGCTAGAGGCTGAGCATTAAGAAGTTAGTTTTAGGAATTGTCGGCCTGGTGTAATGATAATGTGACTGGGTGGGACATCAAATGTTACGTGTCTGCGGCATGATGCCCCGTACTCCGATAATCCAGTCCCCCAAATTTGTGTTGATAATGATGTACTATATGTCGCTCCGAAGTCAGATGTGTATTAAAATGTGCTATTTTCTGGAACATACTTGCGTACAGTTTAAACTCTTACCGGTATTTGGTAACAGCTATATATAGCGCAAAATGCAAAATGGCCACATGGCAGAGGGTTGTGTTATTCCACGTTGATTTGCATGTCGTCAAACAGTAAGTACATATTGAAAAAAGGAACGCTTGAGCTGACGTTAGCTCAACACATGAGAGAAATACTGGTAAGTGTACAAAATATTCACCGATGTGTGCAGACAAAAGTGGCAACATATATTTGCAGGTTTTAAAGAATAAGTTAAATCAATAAATAAGCAGCCAGTCAATAGTATCATAGGTGAGGGGCTGATTTATCAGCTTAGATACCCCAGTGCTAGATATCGCTATAAACTGCCACAATGCAGACATTATAGCGATATGACTGAAAAATTGTTAAGGCTACGTGAAAATCCAACACACACACACACACACACACACACACACACACACACACAGGACATGCACGTGCATCTTCTTCAGGATATTGTTGTTCATAGTGTAATGACCATAACTAGAGTCACAATGACTTGGATACTCTTTTCAGTCTTTGCTTTTATTACGTTTGTTTTTATAGATATGGTACATATGAATATGAATATGATTTATAATATTCATTTCACAAAGAAGAGTAATTATATTTATCTCTAATGTCCATTGACTGTCAAACTAGCAGAAAATTCTGGCAACCGATCTTAACATGTGTAACCTATTTTCGAGGTAAAGGTTCTTTCGGTAAAAACGTCTTTGAAAGTCTGTCATAAAGTTTTTAGAGTGTACTGTTTAGCTTATCTGCTACACAAATTATGCTCTTATGCTATTACTGTTTGTAATATATGTAAAATACATACGAAATCATGACGAGAGCAGTCCATGTATGTTCTCGTATCACGATGTCCGCCATTTTGGATTAGCATGAGAGTTTCGTATTTAGAGATTCTATACTTTCGCATTTGCAATTATTCTTTCTAATGATAATAAGGTACTAATAAGAAAGTGACTTGCATGTTTTAGTGATAATATCGTTGCAATACCGTTGTATCGAGGTATGCAATTCATGTTTCAATGTGACAATAGCGGTCGTCTGCATCAAGTGCAGAACCCGCGTCTATATGAATCGATTCAATTATTCAAGACTTAAGTTATCATCATAAAGTTTAATTTCACCTAAACTTGAGCTCATAAAATGTTCTTATTCGTTTCATAGACGAGCTCTATGGTATTCAACTACTTATTGTTATGTAATTTATGTATTTGTAATTTTGACATTGTATACCATGCAAAACTGTATTGTTTACAATGCAATGCATGGCACACCATACAAGACACCGATTGGTTACATGGATTGCCGTGCATGCAGCGATTGGTTGGATTGTCTCACGTGGTGCCTGGGGAAGCTTATAAATACGGGAGCGCTGTCAATATTGGTCAGACAACTGACGAGTACAGTCGGCGCCAGAATTCAAAGTAAAGCAAGCTTTCGAGTAGGTACATTTTTTTTATCTTTACAAATATCATATCATAATAATAAAAAACAACAATTGATGGAATAATTCTTACAAAAATAGATTGTAGCAGTTGTCTCCCACCACACTTGAAAGCCTCCCCCACCTCCTGTTGTTATATTAGAATTACATGATCTAGCTGTACACAATAACTGTAGCTTTTATTTATTAATACAATTAATTAAACATTGCCAAAATTGTTCTCAATTTTATGTTGATGATATAACCCCTCTTTCATTGCCCCAACCCCAAACTTTTGACTTTTTTAAAATACATTTCTCTCTGTTCCTATATACAAATATATGTAGCACCCTTAAGGACCAAAAAGGGCCTTACAATATTATCACAGTATAATTCTGTTCAGCCCAAAATATGAATAAAGTAAAGTCTTTGCATCTTCAAATCGGAGCAAGGGTATTTGTTTCCATCATTTTTAGTCTGAAATTTAAAACATCATACAAGCCCCTCTCCTGATATTAAATAGTTGAAACCCTGTATTTACCAGCAGTAATCGACTAAAACTGTTTGGGTTCTTTTTTAAATAATTATCTGAGTACAGCAAAGAAATAGCATCAAAAAAAAGACATGCATATACCATAATTTAAAATATGTCATGATCAAAAATGGAACTTAAATTGACACGTGGTCTCTATGGTCAGCTTTTTATTGGGGTACAAATAGACATTACTGAATCTGACTGATAAATACGAAGCTGATATAAAGGTGACCACTAGATTGAGCTTGTATACATGATTCGTAGCGAACGCGTATAGCTCTATGAAAATGCCTACATATAAAACGATACACAAATGAAAAAAGGGCTTGCTATAGGAAAACAACACATTTGCCACACGGAAGACAACTCTCAAATAACAAAACAAAATCTGGTTGAATCCCTCCTTCCATCTTCGCTAGCTAAGGTTCCGATATGTTAACCTTTCCTACAACTTGGCGGATCGTGCAGACATTTTAGTGCTTTATCCCATCAACATCTATTGGATTTCATGAGTTGCCTCCCTTAGTATATAATGCCACCAAAGCAATAGCGTGTAACAGCGGTGCAATGTATATTGGCCGAAAAAGATGGAGCCAATTGACTTGAAAAGGATACTTTGTAAATTTAACATCGAAAGTATGACTAAGTACCAGAGAGAAGTCATCACAGGTGTATTTGCTTATTTTTGAGTCCATTCAAGGTATGTGCTCCCCTTGTCTCGATCACGTCGGAATAGTTTTCAAATTTGACAAACTTGTTTTTGATTGGATGCGGTGTGATGTGTGATGATTGGTTTAAAATATTGATGATTGGACACCAGATGTAGTTCATCTTGTAAAGCGCTTTGCATAAAAGCGATTCAGGTATAAAACAACCTAATAATAATTATTAATCTGCAAATAAGGCAAACAACTCACATTTTAATATTAGTAGTCTTTCCTTTCTAATACGATGGATAGGTCCAGGTTTAAGATTGTTTGGCAACCTTTCCTGCGGATCACCAGTAGTCCGCGTACAAACCTCTGATACAGCAGAAATGAAAGCGAGATGGAAAATAGGCTGAGCTGTGACATTGACCTGGGAAATAGATCCCAATGTGAGATGTTACCTACTTAAAATGATGAGGCATATGTATAGATATGCTTTCGTCTTAAGCGGCCTGAAGATTCAGAGCAAACGGCGAAGTGTGAATGCTTTCGTCTTAAGCGGCCTGAAGATTCAGAGCAAACGGCGAAGTGTGAATGCTTTCGTCTTAAGCGGCCTGAAGATTCAGAGCAAACGGCGAAGTGTGAATGCTTTCGTCTTAAGCGGCCTGAAGATTCAGAGCAAACGGTGAAGTGTGATGGAAGCTTTTATTGAACATAAACGATATGACCGCAATTCGTTAAGCAATTGACCTTGAAGTTAGAGACTACGCGTGGCACGCGTTATACCTTCCAAAGATGACGTATAAGTACACCAAGTTGCATTACTTAAATGGCTTTAGAGTTAGAGAGCGGGAAGGAAAGTGATGGAAAATTTATTTAAAAAACTTACCTTGAATATATACCCTACCCCCGATATTATACGCGACATTCTTTCTAATGTTAATGTATTAGTGTACAAAGTTTTATATCCTAAATTCAAACGACTTGAAAGTTCTGCTGCAACGGAAGCGAATAGTGCGATAGAAAACGTAGAATTGGGCCCAGACTTAGACCAACAAGTAGAGACCTACTTGTTGGTCTAGGTCCTGACCATGACTTTGAACGTAGGCTCCATAGTATGATACGTGACACACCGTTACATGGTGATGAGAACACCAAATTGCCTCACTTAATCTCAAACGATTTGAAGGCTATGGGTCGGGAAGGAAAGTGAGAAAGACGGACGGAAAGGCGGAAACGCGAACACGATGTTCTGTACTTTGAACACAATCTCTGTACTTTTTACAATTATATACAGCACTATTCGGGAGAACTAGGTTACTCCCAGCTTAAAGAAAAAGCTTAAAAAATCTCAAAATCTCAAAATCTCTCTCTCTCTCTCTCTCTCTCTCTCTCTCTCTCTCTCTCTCTCTCTCTCTCTCTCTCTCTCTCTCTCTCTCTCTCTCTCTGTGCATATGTTTTATAAACATGTGCATCTTTTACATCCGCTCATATAAATCATATGAATATTGTTTGAGGTTTGAAAATTGAACATTTTCATTTTGCGCATCGACACCATGTACATCTTTGCTTGCTGAAAATAAATCAGTTGAACAGAATGAAGCATACTAAAGTGTGTGTGTGTATGTGTGTGTGTGTTGTAAGATGACTTCACACGGTATGTTGTATTCTACAAGTTACCATTAGCAACATTAATAATCCCAAGTCAAGTTCGTAATATTTCTGGCATCTCGATTGTCTGTTAAGCACTTTCCTTGACATGTTTTTATGTTCATTGCGTAGGCAAGTATTTAGCGCGCGAGAAATTGGCATGACCAGTTTGTGTCAGAGCAACTTTACTAATATCAGGAAAATATTCTAAAAAAACAAAATGTGCCTTACATGCATGATCTGTTTCCCACTAACATATTCGATACAAATTATTTATTTTAATAAATATGAAATGGTATGATATAAACTTCACGAAATTGTATAGAACTTTGCATCTGGTGTTTGATATAACCGATAAGATGCTAAATGAGATCATATGCATGTTTAAATAATAAAAAAATTGAATGAATGGGAGTTTACTTGCATAGATTTCGATTTTTTATTTTGTTCATTTCTACATTG